GCAAATGTTTTGAGAATGATGAGGGCAATGAATGCACAAATGTGCTTTACACAATTGATGTATGTATGGATTGTGATAAGAGTTGTATGAGCCCCCAATAAAATGATTTTTTTAAAAAAGGAGGGTCTTCCACCCACCCCGTTGCGCCATTAACCAACTCCTAAATCTATAATTTATCCACTGGAGGTGGAATTAAGGCTAGACCTAGAGGTGTTAATTTAAGCACTAACTGACCTCATATTTTATTGCTTGAGGAATACTGATATGTGCAAGTGTGTCTCCACAAGCCTGTTCTCTATAAAGTATGGAATTCTTTCTCCTATGATAAGACTAAATTTAGACTCAGTCATCACAAACCATTTTTGAAGTGAAACCGAGTATAAACAAATCAAATAAGAACTAAATAAAGTAAATGCGTACTTGTATTGACAGTCATGAATGGAATTATTGGTTGAGATAAGGATTGAAAAGGTCATTGTACAATTTTGTCACATGATCCGCACTAACAATTCAAATTCATGACACTAGTTTTAGTAGCATATGGTTGTCATTAGGTGCAATCAAGTCCGTTCAGACTCATAGCAACCCTTTGTACAACAGAACAAAACACTGCCCCATCCTCACAATTGTTGCTATGTTTGCACCCATTGTTGTAGCCACTGTGTCGAGCCATCTCTTTGGGTGTCTTCTTCTTTTATTACCATCTATTAGCATAAATGCTTTAAGAAAAACCCACTGCCATCGAGTGGAGTCTGTCTTATAGCCACCCTATAGGACAGAGTCGAACTGTCCCTGGGGGTTTCTGAAACTAAACCTTCATAGGAGAAAAATGCCTCATCTTTTCCTTGCAATTTGTAGCCCAAAGCATAATCCACAACGACACTAGAGCTGCTGTCCATTATCATACCTTTGTCTGAATGCTATTCTACATGATTAAAGAGGAGAAACACTGAAGGATAAAACATTTTTCAAAACTTATTCTTATTTCCAGATCTTACATTTATCCTCTTTGTCAGACTTAAAAAGAAAAAGTGAATTCATTTTTAAGTGAAATGATTAACATATAGGCATAAACACAGCCTGGAAACTCATATTTTTACATATTTGATTAATTTACTTAAGATTATTGAATATAATGATATTTCTTAAGTTTTAAAATTTTATTCTAGCAAGTAGAACAGCAAAAATCTGAAACATTTTTAATGAAAACTTTGTATCACGTTTCATCAGAATAAGTGCTTACAAAACTTGTTATTTTAATGATTATCATTTATTAATCAATCATAGAAGATGACTTCTATCTTCACTAATAATGAATGCTGTTAGGCCCCAATGTGATGTTAACACTTACCTTTGATCCAGGAGGGGGGGCCAAGCCAAGAAATGAATATATAATATTCTCTTCTTTGGCAGAGAAGAAAGAGTCAAAATCCTTGAAACAAAGGAAAAGAATGCTTAAGTTCACTGCACACTGTGAGCCAGGATATTTCCCTAAATTGATGTTTCATTCATTAGTTATAAGCTAACACAAAAGATTATCAGTTTTCTCTGTCAATAACTAATCCTAAAAGTTAAGAACTCAACTATGAACTTTACATCCGTTTGCATACCCTTTCATTGTACCTACACAGTGCAGTGAGTAGTCACACGTGTGCACACATGTGCACACACACAAATGCACACAAGTATAACACACAGGCATACATGCACACCCAAGCATGAATACACACAATCAAGCACACTGGAATTACTGACAAGACCCAGATATGCACAGTAAAAAGGCTTTTCAATAGATGTCATATCATTAGCTGGTTTACTTATAATTCGGTTCAAGGAATTTGGATCTTGCTCAGCCAAGACTAAATCAACACAAGAATTCTCTACTGCACGTTATGGTAGCAGAAGACCCCTGGGTGGTGCAAGGGCTCTCTCCACTCAACTACTAGCAGCCCCATTTATCTATCAGGTTGTTGTGCTACAGTGACTTGCATGCTCCTGGGATGCCGGAAGCTGGGCCACAAGTATTTCAAACACCAACTTCCAGATGAAGAATATATGAGAAAGAAGGAATAGGCCGTCTACTGCTGAGGAATCAGCCACTGAAAACCTCATGAATATCAACAGAACATTATCTGATATAGTGTCAAAAGGTGAGCCCCTTAGACACAAAGGCACTCAAACACAACTTGGGAAGAACTACCTCCCCAAAGTTGAGTTGGTCTGAATGACATGAAATGAATAAGGCTTTCAGGACCTTCGTTTGCTTATGAGACATGACTCAAGATGACCAAAAACAGCTGCAAACATACACTAGTAATTGTGAGATGTACTAGGTAGGAATCCAGGAAAATTGGTGATATTAAAAAATATAATGGAACACAAAATTGATATCTTAGACATTAGTGAGCTGAATGGGGCAGACATTGGCCACTGAGAATTAAACATGCAGTTTATTGTGTTGAGAATAGCAAATTCAGAGAAATGGTTTGCACTCTTCTATGATGCTCACCTTCCCGACACAACCGCTGAAGACAAAGCGGGTGAATAAGCAAATGTGGTGAAGAAAGCTGATGGTGCCCGGCTATCAAAA